ACCTCCAGGATTCTACAAGCCATTAAAAATGCAGCTATAACTGGAAGTGACATCAATGATTGAAAGCAAACCGTACAGTAAATTTGGTAACATTACCCCATTAACAATGTATGTTAAGCATAAGTAGTGCATTTGCTTGTCTATACTGCCGGTAAACTGAGTTGACTCATATTGTAGTCTCCTACGCAGCGGCTATTAGTGTCATCACGCCAAGCTCACACATTGCGTGATGAAACTAATAGCAGCTGCGTAGTAGACTACTCATACTGTAGCTCTTAAGTTTTTCCTTAGGCTATACTCTTTGACCTTTCATAGCAATAAACACTTAATATATAATCTGCAATAAGAAAGCCTGTATATAGACAAACAGATATAGATTGACTTCTTATACTCTTTCATTCACATTATGATTTTCTTTTATCCTTTAGGCTATGTAAAGACGACGCAGATTATGAAGATATTAAAAATTATAAGATATTAATATCATGAAGATATTAAAAATATTAGTACATGCATTAATATTTTCAGAACTTACAATTACAGCATGCCAAGCAAAGCTCTATATACAACTAGCTGTCATTAAACTAACCACACAGATACTGTACCATACTGTTTCATTTCTAGTACTCTTTTTGTCCCTTAGGTAATATTTATTTCACTTAAACCTTAATATATCCCTTCATCTTGTTTTGTCTGCACTAATATGTTATTATTACAGCATATATTTACAACCAAGCTTTTAGCCATTTTGACTGAGTTCATCATCAGGGATATGTACAGGAAAAAAAAGAAAAAATGAATGGGAAACTATTTGACTGTAAAGCCATAATAATGTAACACTGTTTGTGTGTAACAATGTGTATAAATAAAAAACAATTCAAAATCCCTTAGCACAGCCATGCTAATAGAATGGAAAATTATTTTAGTGCTTAAATCTCCAAAAACGTTCTTTGACAATTGAATTTTGGTAGAAGAATATCTTCATGCAATCTCTTAAAAATAGTTCATTTTGAAAATGTATCAGTCAAGTATGTAATAATAAGTCATGTGAAGTGATGTGTATAAATTTGGAGGCCACAATCTTGGACAAAAAGAGTTGAGAATTTTTCATCCAACCATGAAATAGTAGAATTTCCCTTATTTAAAAAAATATCGTCCGTACCCCCTCTCCCCCAGGACAATGTTGGTCCCAGTAGGTAAAGCAGCCCTGTATCCCTTGACACAACATTGTTTAGAGGGGGAGGGGGTAGTTTTAAGGGGAATTTCTCATGTTTTTTCATGAAAATACCATCAAAACTAAAAATTTCTCAATATTTTTGACCAAGATTGCAGCTTATGACATGCAATAATTTATTAGTTAGTTGAAATAATCAAAAGATAATCTTAAGTAGTTCCCAATATTACTGGACTGACAGTATAGCACTACACCCCTGAAGTTGCTGTGACATAAGCTATGAATTATTTTTCCTTTGCCAACCAGAGATTGCTCAACTGATTAAACAAAGAAACTTGCCAAGAACTATTGTCATTGATGACGTTATAAAGAAAAACCTTACATATCTTGATCATTTCCTTTCAAAAAAACATGTCTACACAACAGTGATAATAGTAAGATAGTAAAAATACTGGCTAACCAATAGCACAGCGCGCTGATTCTAAAAATAGCTTAAAGATTCGGACAAACATTGCATTCTGTTTAACCGCTACGAGGATTATATGAACCGATTTTATTATTTTTACTTAAAGTTACAATAATAACCCATGTAAACTAAGATCAACTGCGATCGGCTGTGAAAATTATCTGCTGAAAGTAAACTTGTAAGTTTGTTTGTCTGAATTTCGGCTTTGTCTTCGTTTTTATGACGTCACGGCTGCGCTGCGCTATTGACAGAATTCCTGTTTGAATTTTGTACAGTATAAAGCACTTTTAGTAAGAATCGATTCAATTTGAATTAGAATTAAACTTTTGCATTTACTTTTTAACTTTTTTTTAAAAACATCAGACTTTCAGTCTAGGTTTATTTTATTAGGGTTCACCACACATGATAGGAAATGAGAGATTTTTATATGAGAAAAAAATAAACAGTGTCACTTAAAAGTCTGGCTTTCAACTCCTGTAACATACTGGGAATGGGGGATGTTACTTGAGGGGTTGAGTGTACTATCAAAATAATAATATTTAAAAAAAACCAGTACTTGATAGAAAGATTTTATCAAAGCCTGAAATAATCTCTTGGCTGATCAAAGTCAGTGCACATACAACTAACTCACAAAATGAATTGGAAATTATATGGTTAGGTTTTGTGGAGGGAGAAAAACAAGAGAGGTGCAAGACTCAAACCTTAAAGACTCTAGAGGAGAGAGGTGAAAGACTAGTGCACTATTGCAAAAACGAAAAAAATAGACTTATGAAATATGATAAAAAGGACTTCAGACTCTATAAATCATTCAAAAAAACCACATTTAAACAAAAGTTTGGATTTCACCATGACCATGCATTCATACACTTAGGGTGCTAATACTACATGTATTTTGATATTAGAGTATTGAAAAAAGCTGTCTGTCTGCTAATCTAAAAAAACAGCAATTTAAAGTTTGGATATTGACATCCCTGATCCATGCATTAGAAATGTTGCATGCAGTGATGATGTGCTGGCCCTTAAAGTTAACAATTAAAAACAGAAATGAAGGAAAACCAAGAGAGCAAAAATAAGTGAAAGCATTTAGGCAAAATATAAAAGACAATTGATGAAAAAAAGGCAAATAAAAGTTAAATTGAGGTGGATGAATATATAATCGTCTTACCGATAAGAATGCAGAAACTTGATCCTTCATATCTGACTACCGGTAAGGCATGACTCAATATACAAATTTAAGAAGAATAACCCAGCTGATACAGACACATATAGACACACAACATTTTTGTTAAAAAGGTACTAGATAGATGCAGAATTATCTTCTTATCTCTCACTATAAGCTTCCAATATTCCATCCAATTGTACTAATACCATCAGAGCAGTCATATAAAAAGATTCTTGAGCTTTGAGATTCTTAAGCCACATTTAGGAGAAAACAAATAATGTCAAAGTGACTCCAAGAAGCCATTGGAGTGGTTTTAAGTTTAGACCTAGAGAATGTCTGGTAAATGACTAAGCCAACAAGGGGATTATTCTAAAAGATCTCTGCATGGTACTGCAGCTAGGACACCCTGTCTCTTTTCAGTAGTTCTACATGCAGCCTTGATAAACTCCTCAAGAGGAGCCAATTATGAAGCTCACTTTTAAAAAACCTGCGGCTGAAATTAGACATAACAAACAAAATATACTTAAGCACACCACAAACATGAATTAAAACAAGAGTATTTACTTAGCTTAGCATGCCGTCATCTGACGTACCTGATATTAAATGGATTCTCTTGTTTAATTTTAATTTGTGTGCTTGAATTGGAAAAGCTACTAAATTCAATAATGTCTGTCCGAGCAAAAATGAAATTACATCCCCCAAAAAAATATATAATTTTTTGGTTCGCATGAAAAAAAAAATTTTTTAGATTGTTACTAAGATCAAATCAAGATTTACACAAACATTTCAAAATATGAACTCTAAATAAATAAGAAAAAAAACAATTTAAATTTTTTTAGCAGTTAAAAAATTTCTAGGTAAAAGCCTAAAGATGAACTTAATAATTCTATCATCTGTAATCATTTGTGAGTCTAAAAATGTTTTTAGCTTGTCCCCAAAAATATGCTGATAGTCATATGAACTAAACTAAAACTCTGATTCTAAAAAACTACAGCTGCTGCATATAGCAAAAGATAATATTGCAAAATTAAATGTACTAAGAGCTAAAAGGAAAAAACCGAAAACAAAAATGAAAATTGAAAAAAGGAAATTACTACTCGGTAGCTGATCGTTGTCATGCATTTTCAAACTGAATATGTATTTTCGTATATATCATAAATACAAACTACACCCAAAGCCAGCAAAGTGATTTTTCCTGTTCATTTCAATATTATATTGACTACCATTCGTAAAGTAATAAATGATGCTACTTAAACATTTCTCTGAGCACAATTTTAAATACAGTGTGGGCAGGATATAAGCCTTATCATGTTGACAATAAACCAAAAAGAATAGAAAAAAGGCACATTAAGAGATAAAATGACAGAAAATTTACGCCCCAAATCTTAGAACACTTAATAGACAGTTTATGCTAAAAAATAAAAATAATGAAGATAGGATTATAATGTTAGTTTTTATGACATAATTATCTTTGTGCCTTAGGGAAAGGAAAAGCACATTTTGGTCATGGTTTTTATAATAATTAGAGTAATTTTAAAGAATCAATTCATGCCAGACAGAACAGGTGCTTCGGGGGGGAATAATTTATAATATCTCTCTATAAAACTTCTAATTTCCTTTAAAAAGTAAAATACATTTTCTGTAAAACAATTAAAATACATTTTCTATAAGAAGTAAAATACATTTTCTATAAAAAAATTAAATACATTTTCTATAAAAAGTGAAATACATCGTCTATAAAAAAATATAAAATAAAAAATATAATAAAAGGTAAAATACATCTT